AGGATGATACAGTGGTGGCCAATATGTGTTCTTCCTTCTCAAGCATCTCAAAGCCTAACAGAGGAGACACATGTTGTAAATATTTATAGACAATGGCTCTCCAAGCAACTTCCCAGGAATTTGTCAACTTTTGTATTAACTTAAAATGTGCTACTACTCAGTTTAGCTTGTTATTAGTTTGACATTTAGGGATGAATTTTTGGGAAGGAAGGTTCTAAACAGTATTCAGTGAGAAGCTTTTCTGTGCAGTTCGTCTTCACATGAAGGGGGAGGTGATGTACAGAGTCTAACCATAGCCCTTGGGAGACAATATAAGAAGCACTTAATAAAATATAGTTACCTTTTCCATTACTAGCAATAATAGTAAGAGTGCCAGCACCATTGGATGATCGAGATTTCAATGTCAGATTTTTTTAACCTACCAGCTGTGTGACATTGAGCAAGTAGCATAATTTCTTTGAGTTTTAGTTTGGGAGAACTGAAATCAAAAGAAGTTATTAGTCAAGTGTAGAGTGCGTGACAAATGTTTTATGGTTTAAAAACTATAAAATGTCATCATTCCTTTGCCTTGAATTACACCTTTCAACATTCCAAGAAAATCTATTATTTTGACTAGATCTTATGTAGAATGCTGAGCTGACATCATATTTCGGGTTGCCAGATAAAATAAAGGATACCCATTAAATTTAAATTTCAGAAAAACAAATTTTTTTTTTTTTTAGTATAAATATGTCTGTGGTCAAATACTAAAAATATTCGTTGTTTATCTAAAATTCAAGTTTATAGGGAACCCTTGAGCTACTATTTTTTTGTACCCTCTTAGACATGAGGAAACTGACTAAATAGATAGCCTCTAACATTCATTTCAAACCTGAGGATTTTATAACTGTAATAAGAAAAGGAAGATGATGGAATCAAACTTACTTTAAATCCCACTATCACCCTTTCTTACCTATGTGAATTTGGATAAATTAGCCTCTCTAAGCCTAGCTATTATTATGGAGAATTTTCTTCTTTCTAAGACAATTACTTTCTCCTCAATGGATTTGCATTATCCAGTTTTAGTGCTCATTTTTGGATTCTGTTATCAAAATTTTAATTTTCTCACTGTGAACAAAATAAATTCAGCTTTCTAGCTCTTGACCTTTATGTCTAAGACTAAGTTAGTTTTCCTGACTGATTCTTCTTTTTCTTGTTTGCAGTCTCTAGGATCCTAACAGGAACTCCAGGCTCAGCAGTCACCTTTGAGAATTTCAAACTGGTGGAGGGAGAGGTACTTTAGGGATTTGAAGTTAATGTCTCCTCTGGGGTTGAGGAGGGACCATGCCTGGGCCTAGCTGCAGGCGGCTCCTGCTCATTAAACACCTCGACTCTGTTCCAAGTATTGGTCTGGGCATCCCACAGTACCTTACCTCATCCTCACATAGTCAGTCCTGTATAACAGAAACATTGTCCTCATTATATTGGGTGAGGAAACATTCTCATGTCACTAGGCTAGGTTGAAAGCCCACATCTGATTATTAGGTCACAGGAATTGCATCAGTCAGACCACCCTAACTCTTGGTTAATGAATAGCTTGCTGGTAGTACCCAATTTGTTTCTCCTGGAGTCTTGCTTAAGATGGAGATGTGCATAGAACTCTTTCTCCCAGAAATGTGCTGCACCATGGGGTTTCATGGAGTGTTGAGCATCCTCCTTCGGCCTTATTTTCCCTGTAAGAGCTGGCTATCCACAAGTCACCAAGCAGCCAAAATGCTAAATAGTTTGAACAACATACTACAAGTAACACATTTGCATTGTTTAAGTTAGAATACAAAACTATATGAAAAAAAAAAAAATCTGCCCCCTCCCAGGGGTGCACATTAACATTTTGATATAATCTTGTTCAGATAGATAGAGATGTATAGATAAAATAGATAAGTTTAAGATGTTGTTATATAGAAACAGGATCACACAGAATAAGCCATTTTTGGAATCTTCATTTTTTTTCACTCAACAATAGACTTTCCTAAAATATGTGCCTCAATAGATTTGCATTTTTGTTGGGGAAATGGCAAATATATATAAAATGCTTCTTAAAAAATATTATATTAAAAATTAAATTATGTGCTATAGATTCTATTCTTTTATACTTTTATAAGTAGGTCTCTTTTGGAAATATGGATTGTGATTGGTCGTAATCCATAACCTACTTTTGTTTAATTATAGAAATCTTCCTAGAGAAGAAAAACAGAGAAAATGTGGCATTGATCATGGCAGTTCTTTAATCTTTATGAACAAGACCCACAGTTTTTTAAAGCTGCATATTATCGGGAGAAGTATTTCCTGGCATGATTTTCTAACTTAAATTTGCCTTGAAAAGTTTCTTGGGTCTGTTGAAAGGCAGAATCTGCCCTTACTCTGTGAAAGACACCAAGGCTGCGTGCCTTGACAATTTCACAGAGTGAAACAAAGAATTTAGACCTCGACTTGAAAATTAAATTCCAGAAGCACATTCCACCTCCTTCCTCCAACCTGACATATCAAGCTATTTTAGGCACCAGAACCACATTGCCTGAAAAGTTGTTCAGATTCTTAATTTGCCTGGTGATAGGTAGCCCAACTTGAAACGATAGCTTCACTGTAATGTACATTCAAGTGTTTGCTCTAAGAATGAATTCCACAGAGACCTGTTCTGTGGTCAGCTAAGGGAGCAGTGGAAATTGTATCTTCTTGGTGAAAAGGGCTTTGCATCCTCAAGGGTCTCCAGAAATACTTATTGATGGTCAAGAAAGATAAGTCTCTCTGATTTCCTCCACTCAATTATTTTGCCAGGGGGAAGATTCCTTTTTTGGTAGGTAGCAATGATTAAAATAGACACATATTTTCCATCACAGCAAATGTAGTTTAGTGGACGTAGCAATGAACGTGCCTTCAAAGACCTGACTTTGAGTCCAACTTTGCTACAAACTTGCCCATTAACCCTGGACAAGTTATCAGGGATGGTTTTCTTATCTATAAAGTAGAAATAATGATCCTTGGTTTCTTTAGTGGAGTCTTGTGAAGATAATATATCACTTATAATAAAGATAGAGCTAATGTTTCCTTATCAAGGCACTCAACAAAACCAGGGACTGCTAAAACTTTGTATGCATTATCTCATCTAATACTCAAAATCCCCTGACAATCTCATTTTATAAATAAGACAACTAATGGTTGGAGGACTTAAGTAATCTGCCAAGGCCATGAAGCTTAAGGATAGTGGAGCCAGGATGGGCTACTATGTAAATACTGATTATATAGCTTTTTCCTCAAAATATGGTAGGCATACTATTTTCGCATATATGATATCTTCAGAAGAGGCACAAGGACATTTTTTAAAATTATGCATTTATTTTAACATTAAGAAAATTATATATCTAGAATATCAAACTACTTATTTCAGAGCTATGTTTTCTCAGGATGAGGGTAAAATCCCAAATGTTCAGTCTAAAGAAACTTTGAAGACAAGTCTGAAATAATAGTACAGGTGGTATGCAGATGTGGTAAAATCAGACATATGATAAAAACGACTAAAATGTGAGGCATCTATGTCATTAAAGCTGTGATTAAATGTAACAATGTGCATGGCATTTACAAATGCTATATGTAATAAGATTTTGATATTTCATGCATGTGGACCAAAGAAGGGTATAAAAATTAAAATGTGGACTTTTATAGAAAACAAGCCAAAAGTATTCAACCCAAGAGCAACAACAATAGCAATAATAATAGCTACCATTTACTGGAGCTTACCATGTTTTTGAGGTTATGTAAGCACTTTATGCTCATAGCCTAATTTAAATCCTAGCTTTGCACTTGGGGAAGCTGCTCTATCAGAAACAACAAGAAGCGCTAGGTCAGCGCTGTCCAGCACAGTAGCCACTAGTAACATGTGGCTATTGCGCAGGTGAAATATATCGAGTCCAAACTGGGATCTGCTGTGAAGAGGTTCCGACTACGCCACCCCAAAATATGCCACTTTGGCATAGAGATGATTTTGAGCTGAAGACAGTTGAGAAATTACAGATGCAGAGAGCTCTCTGCCTTCCCCCATCTGCCTAAAAGCTGGGTGTAAATTTCCCCTTGTGAGGATGTTCCTCCTCCCCTCCCTGTAGCTGGAGGAGGAGAACAGCCATTACTACTGGAGACAAAAAGTCGGCATGGTGATGGGTCGGCACAAACAAATCTTACTAAGATAGCCCTTATCTTCAGTTTCCTCCATACACTTACCTCCCTACAATTTACCATGCCCAGCCAAACTCCTTTTCTTAGGTCCAGCCACTTCTCCACGATTTATCACCCTTTGTTAAAATGTTCTTAAGACCCTAGGCCTAACCAGCTTTTAGGATCTTCATGTCTTTCCTCTGAAGGCCTCTGCGCATGTAAAAAGTAAAATATTAACATCAAAGAAAATTGGGGGGGGGAGGGTGGGAAGGAGGAAAAATAAAATGTAATAAATAAATAAAATACAAAAAGGAAAAAAGAAAATTGGTGTACCTTTCTTCTGTTAATTGTCATTTGTCAGTTTAATTTGTAGGTCTCATTTACTCAACCTAAGAAGGCAGAGGAAAAAATTTTTTCTTCCTCTAGCTTATAAGTTTAAAATACACATTGGATTTTAATATAAAAATAGGAATGTAAAGTATCTCAACATTTTTTATGTTGATTATATATTGAAAAGATAATATTTTAGCTATATTGCCTAAATGTATCATTGCAATTAATTTCACCCGTTTATTTTTACTAGAAAATTTAAAATTACATAGGTTGCTCTCAATTTCGGCTCACATTACATTTCTTTGGGACAGCGCTGTTCCACATGAGGTGCGCAGTGCGCTCCGCCCATGCCTGGGGTGTGCTCCGAGGTTCAAAGATTTTCAGCTGGGAAGATGAGGTTTTTTCCCTTTGATTTAATTAGCAGGTGTGTAAATGCTAACATATCCAAGCTTTAACTACTCTGCTTTTGCATTTTCCTACAGAGGCCACCAGCTGCTGAAAAGCCAGAGTGGGATAACAAAATCTGCGTCTTGCTGCTTTAGAGCCATTAAACTCTTAAGGTAGGACATTGCCCCTTGATTCTGTGTGCAAATAACAGAGTATTACAATTAGCATCTGTGTAGTTACACTGATGTAATCTAAAGGGGCGAGGGCATATCCCATTATTCCGGGGTTGAAGTACATTCATGATGGGTAATTTATTCATAGCTGAAATATAGCAGTTTCTTAAGAGGTCTCTCAGAGAGCGAGTTCCAGTACCCAAAGCTTTGGAGGGTGATTATTTTTCAGCAGTAGATGTCATTAAAAGAGGTAAACAGAAATTGAGAATTCAACATGAACTCACCTTAGTACTAACACAGGTTCAAGCAGCCAGGACTCCAAGAAAGAAAAACTTCTCTTGTGGCAAATGATCATAGCCTTTTCCCATTTTTGCTTTCTGCTTAGTTAAATGGCCTTAGCAAGAGCATCTACTGAGAAAACAAAGAAAAATCACACACACACTAGTGAACAGAGTCAAAAACCTAAACAACCATTTCTTAGGGCTGAATAGGCAAAGCCCAATGGCAGCACTTCCTACTCTCTTAATTACTCTGCCTGTAGTTTTTTATTCCTCCTCACAGTCCACTTCCTAGAGTGGACTGTGACCCAAAGGAGAAGCCTTGAATTCAAGTCTCATTAAAGGCATTTAGTAGTTTTCTGCCCTTGGAAAAGTCTCCTGACTATTTTGAGCCACTCCTCATCAAAAATGTCATCAAGTGTATAAAGGAATTTTGAAAGTCCTGCCATATGGACTATGGTGAGGCATTTTTATGACTAAAGCCTTTTCAGTTCTCATGCCTTAGCTTTAGGCTGCTCGTTAAACTTTCTCTTCATAATAACAATGAGAGTTAAAATTAAGTGAAAACCCACTGTGTTAGGACTATGTGCATCCCTCTCTTAAAGTTTTTCTACTGTGACACATTACACACTTAAGAAAAAACAAATAAAAATATAAACATATGGCTTAATGGATTATTATCATGTCATTGTCTGTATAACTGTAATCCAGATCAAAAGCAGTGTTGCCTGCACCCATGAACCCCCCAAAGTGACCTGACTCAAAAACAACTCCCTCTTCCCCTTAAGGGTACCCATTAATTCTGGCTGTATGACAATCACTTTATTGTTTTTTTTTTTATTTTATATTTTTAACACAAAGTATATATCTGTAAACACTATGGTTCTGGCTGTTTTGGAATTTTAATTAACCATGTCCATACAGATACCTGCGTCTGACTTCTTTTACAGCATCACGTTTGTGACATTCATGTTGTGGATAGCTGCAGTTCTTTAATTTTCATCATTGTTCCCTGTTGTGTGAATACAAAGGGATAGATTTGTCCACTTTACTGTTGATAAACATTTGGGTTGTTTCTAATTTTGGCCTAATGCATAATGCTTTTGTGAACATGCTTGTCCATTTCCTTTGGTGCGTGTGTATATGCATTTTTGATGGATATATTTCTAGGAGTGGAATTACTAGGTCACGGGTAATACATATGTTCAGTTTAAGTAAAAACTGCCCAATTTTCCTAACAGGTGGTATCAGTATACACTCTGTCAGCAAAATTTGCGAGTCCCCCTGTTCTCCTTGCCTACAGTTGGGATTGTCAGTTTAAACATTTTTAGCCAATCGGGTGGATGCGTATAAGTGGTACGCATCATGAGCTCATTTTCATATGTTTGGTAGCCACTTGGATTGCTTCTTTGTTAAAGTGACTGTTCAGCTCTCTTCTTGACTTTTCTACTGTTTTTTTTTTCCCCCCTATCTTTTCCTTATTGATTTATAAAACTTACATTTTATATTCTGGATGTAAGCCCCTTATTGGTTAAATGTGTTGCAAGTATTTTCTCTTACTCTCGGCCTTGCATTTTCATTCTCTTGATGATGTCTTTTGCTGAACAGATGTTCTTAATCTTGATGTAGTCAGATTTATCAAATTTTTATTTTACGGCCGTGATATGTTCTTTAAAAGTCTTCTCCTACCCTGAGGTGCTGAAGATATTCTCCCACATTATCTTCTGAAAGTTTTATTGTTTTGCCTCTAACATTTAGATCTATAATCTATCTAAAATTGATTTTTTAAAATGATGTATAAGGAAGGGTCAAATTTTATTATTTCTGTGTGGATATCTAATTGTGCCAGCATCATAACACTACAAAAGCCATTCTTACCCCATTGTTCAACAGTGCCACTGTCTTCAACTAGGTTTTCCTGAAATCAGAGCCTCAAGGCAAAGGTTCAATGGGGTTTGCTTATTTGGGCACTCCAAGTAGCAGAAGTACAAGACAGGGTAAGCAAAACAAGAAAACAGAGGAAGCCAATACAAGGATGTGTAATTGAATTGGCCACTGCTATAGGTCATTGGAGTTCTTACCTTTTTAGTAGCCTCATGAAATGCAACCCAGAACACTCCAGGAACGAAAGGAAGAGACATTTTTCTATTGGTACCTTCAGTGACCAAGGTTGAAGGTTGGCTTCGTGGTTGTTAATCCCCATGTACCTCTAGGTGGAACATGTGTGAGTTCTGAATATGGGCATCCCTTCAGAGCAGTCCCAGAGCAGGAGAGAGGTAGGCAGTGTGGGTCCAAAGCAAGGTGCAGCGTGGGTGCACAGGCGACTTGTTGTTGCAGTAGCACACTGGAGTTAAAGGTGGAGCCGAGAGGATTTTGATGTGGTTCACAGGAGGCTTCTTATTCTAGTTCATTGATCTATTGATCTATGTTCGAATCAATACACCACTTTATTGAAAATCGTAGCTTAACAACAAATGAACAGGACAAACAGAGACTTGGGGACATGGACAATGGACTAGTGGTTACCAGAAGGTGGGGGATGGGGGAAGAGGGAAGAGATAGACAGGGTAAAGGGTCAAATATAGGGAGTTTGGAGGAGGGTGAAGTGGGTAAAGGGGATCAAATATATGGCAGCTGAAGGAAACTGGACTCTGGGTGGTAATCATACAATAGAGTATATAGATGTCAAATTATAATGTACACCTGAAAATTATATAATCGTATTAACTAATGTTACCCCAATAAACTTAAAAAAAAAATCGTAGTTTTATACTGTCTTTATACCCAGTGGATTGAGTTATTCTGTCTTGTTCTTCAAGAGTGTTTCAACTAATGCCAATTCTTTGCATTTTTATGTATAATGTGAAGTCTGCCTCTCAAATCCCACAAGTTAACCTCTTGGGATTTAGATTGAAATTAATTTGAATACAGAGATCAGTTTAATGAGAAGTACCATCTTGACAGTATTGAGACTTCCATGAACATAGTTTATTTTTCATTAATTGTTCTAAATTATTTTTAGCTTTTCTGCAGAGAAGTCTTGTACATCTTTTGTTAGATATATTTCTAGGTTTTTTAAAAAAATTAACTTTGTTTCTTATATATAGAAAACAAATAATTTTTTTATGTCTGGTAATATGGCAAAATTCACTGGTACACTATAATAATTTATCTATAATTTAGATTTTCTCCATACACAGTCATATGATTCATGGATAATGACTGTCTTATTTCCTTCTTTACAATCTCTTCATGGTTTACATCGCTTTCTTGCCTTACTGTAATAGCTAGGACCACCTGTACAATGTGAACTATGAAAGTGACAGTGAGCATCCTTGCCTTACTCCCAGTCTCAAAGGGAGAGTTTCAATAATTAACTTTTAAGTTGCTATTAGCCTTTATAAAGTTATTTTTTTATTAGATAAAGGAAGTTACATTTCTATTCTTAGGTTGCTAAGTTTTTTAAAATCATAAATGAATTTTAAATTGCATTGAATAGCTCTCTCACAACTATTAAAATACATATTTTTCTCTATCATGTTAATGTGAGAAACTGTATTGATTTTTTATAGTTTGTATTTTAGAAGGATTTTAGATTTATAGAAGATTTGGAAAGATGGTACAAAGTGTTTTCATATGCCTTCACGAGCTTCTTGTAATGTTAACATTTTACAAAACCATGGTATGTTAATCAAAATTAAAATTGGGTATTTAAAAAAAAATTAAGCCAAACTTGTGTTATTAGAATAAACCTTAATTTGGTTATAATTTTTACTCCTTTTATATATTGACTATATGAAGTTTAAAAAAAGTTCTTATATTAATGAGTTAGATTTGCTTAAATTTTCCTTTCTCATTCCATCCTAGCCAGGTTTTATATCAAGGCATAATCAATCAAATGCATTTGGAAATTTTCCCTCTTATGCTATTCTTTGGAGAAGTTGATAAAAGATTAGTATTACATTTCCATAAATGTTTGATAGATGTCTTTGTGGGTATATTTTAAATTATGAATTCAATTTATTTGGTAGTTATGGAACTATTTTGGTTTTCTTTTTCGTTTAGATTTGGCCACTATTCCCCTTCCCCAGATCTGTACCAAAAGGGATGCCCTCTCAAGATGCTCACCAGTTTTTTGCATGTGTCCAGTGAGATTTGTGAAGAAACTACAGCTGTGTCATATAAACTGCCCCTGTATTTGTGGCCCCAGGGAGCTCTACACATTCTCACTAGTGCTCACTTGGCCTTTATCAATTGACGGACAATTCCAACTTAATTCTTCTTCTCCTGTCTGGCTCTGTCTGTTCCATGTAGGCAACTTCTTGTGTCTTATCTTCTCCTGCCAAAGCCTGCCTCTCCTTGTTTTCAGATTTGTTGCCTTGCAAACTTATCTTTCTGATAGGTTCCAGAAAAGTCATGAACTTGCAATTTTTCTGATTTTTGTGTTGTTACTGTAAGGAACAGGTGCCTTTTGCAACTTCTATATTCTAAGCAGACTGAGGTTCATTGAGTTTGTTTCTTGAATCTCCATATTGCTATCTTTCTTCAGTTTTGGAAAATCCTCATCCATCATCTGTTCAAATATTTCTTCTGCTTCATCTTCTCTCTCTACTTATTCTTCAATTAATATACTGTATTAGACCTTCTCACTACATTTCTTTTTTTTTTTTTATCACTAGAGGCAATACTATTTGGAATGCCTTCCTATCTGTATTTTTTTTG